GACCTGAGAGATTCTCCCTGTGAAGAGCAGGAAAAAGTTTTCTGTCTTCAAAAAGAAAAGGAAGAGTAGTCATTTTAAAATATTTCTAGGATATTCTATTCTTCTTAACAAGACCTGCCCTCTTTTATTAGAAGCTAATTGACCTAGGAGGACAGAAATTTCCAGCAATGTTATACGAGATGGGAGGGATTAAATGGGAAGACTCTGCCATGCACTGCTCACATTATCCATGAAATTGTATAATGGTATTTGAAAGAGCACTTGATTAATTGTACTCTGGAAATTCTACTGCAAAACATTTTTTTAAATGTATAATGTAAACTAAGAGAAGATAAAAAGTGGAATCATATAAAATGCTTAATTAAATCCAGAGAAGAAAGAAAAAGAATAGAAGAAACAAAGAGAAGCAAAGTAATGAATACAAAATACTAACAAATTTGACAGATATTATTTGAACTATATCAATAATTTCTCTAAGCACTAACCAGAATTTGCTAATTAAAAGACAAACTGTCAGAATGGGAAAAAATGAAATATATAACGAGTAAGGAGCATGCATTTACTGTAAAGACTCAGATTAACAAAGCATTCCTTAATATGAAAGTGGCTAACATATGAGCATCAAAATGTTTGAAGCAAAGCCTGGTAAACATGGAGGAGAAATAACAAGCCCACCTCCATAGTGTGAAGACTCGATTCTTCTTAGCAGCAGTGGAGAGCACCGCCAGGCAGAAAATCAAGAAAGATGTAGTTGAATTGAACAATTGCATCGAATGGCATCTGCAGATCACTTTATCTGACCACAGCTGACTATGCATTCTTCTCAAGTATATATGTAACCCTCACCCGGAGATACATGAAGTTCTGGGCCATGAAACACATCCTTAAAAAAAATTAAAGAATAAAATATCTTAAAATGAGTGCTCTCTGACCACGATGGAATTAAGCTAGAAATCAGTAACAGACTCTGGGATACTGAGGCAGGAAGACCCCATGTTCAGCTTGGGAAGCTTAGCAAGATTCTGTCTCAAAATAAAAAAAATAAAGAGGCTGAGGGTGGAGCTCAATGGAGAGGCACTGGAATACCCTATACTACAAAACAAAACAGAACAAACAAATCAGCAACAAATATACTCATAAAACTCCCAAGCCCCCACCACATAGAAATTAAAGAGCAAAACTATAAAAAAACACGTAGGTGAGCCAGGTGTGTTAGAGCATGCCTGTGATCCTAGCGTTAAGGAGGCTGAGGCAGGAAGATCACCATGAATTTGAGGCCGGCCCAGGCTATATACGAAGTTCAAGGTCAGCCTGAACTACCTAAGATCCTGTCATAAATAAACACATATAGAAGTCTCAAGAAACATTTAAAAATATTTGGAACTAATAAAAAGAAACTATAATATCAAAGTGTGTGGGTTTCAGCTAATGCAGTGCTTTCAAGTAAATTTTTAGCCTCAAGTACATATATTTGAAGAGAAGAAAGATGTAAGATCAATAATCGAAACTTCCAGCTTAGGGAATTAGAAAATTGAGTGCAGTTTAAATCTAAAGTAAGCCAGCAGAGAAAGACCCAGCCAAAAAGGACAACTACAGGCCAATCTCACTAATGAACATAGATGCAGAAATCCTCAAAAGATAATGGCAAACAGGATGCAGAAGATCATCAAGAAGATCATACACCCTGACCAAGTGGG